GAAGGTCGGGCTGGGGGGGGGGGGGTGCCCAGGGTGAAGACCCTGACTTGCGAAAGGGCACACCCTGGGGAGTCTCCAGCGCCCTGCCTTCCTGACACCCACTCCCCCCAGCGCTGACGGGGTGATTGACCCTGTCTGTCGCTCGTAAATGAAGGGTTTGGTTCAGGGCCCTTCCTGCCACCCTACTGAATAAATGCGCTGCCCAACGGCCCCGAAAGACACCTCCTAGGAGCCTCTTCCGAAATCGTCGCCCTGCTTTACATCCAAACTAGGGCTCTCTTTGTTTCCCAGAGAAAAACCAGAGCTCCTAGAAGGAAAGGCTGCTTCCAGGTGTTGAATCAACTTCTGAGAGAATCTGGGGTCTCAGAAATAAAGGGTTATCGCGCAGATTCAGATTCTAAAAGGTGAAAGAACTGGTTCTGGAACAAGTTCCCTAAGCACCAGAGAGCAGCTGGGAAACCTAAGGACCAGGGCGTTTTGTAATGAAATGTTGGAGAGAAGAAACACATTGTTTACATTGAGCCTATAGATAGATGGAAGGGGCAGGACACCACGGAGTGGGCAAAGTTCTAGGACGGGAGGGTGGTCCCTAACCTTCTTGCGCAGAACGGGATATTGCCTTGGTGACTAATCTTCAGCACACAGGAAAGGAATGTAGAAGGGTTTTTTTTTTTTTCTTTTTCTTTGTTGATTTTAGCTCGAAGCTATCAGTTAAAATAAATTTATCTTTCCTTCCTCCATTCTCCGGCCTGTAACTCAATTTAAGACATCTCAGAAGTCTTCTGTTATCACAAGTGTGGGGCAGGCAAAATACTGCAAGGTCCTGGAGATTCCTACTAGTTCAGAAAATAAGCCGTCAAAAATGCTTGGCTCAATGCACTGGCCAAAGAGGGACAAGCATCGAAAGAAGAGTGACTGTAATGAATTGAAACACATTAAATTATTTATATGGGGGGGACATATACAGATATACATTTAAATCCATGAGTTTATAATACTTTTAAAAAGGAAACCCCACATCAGTAGACTTTGAAGGCTACTAGGGCATCAGTCTGCAAAGCCCTTAACTAAAGGAAAAGAAGCACGCATTTATCTTACCTTTCCTTTATAAAACAGTCACAATGGGCCAGGGGTGTGGTTCCTTAGCCTGCAAAACACACACACACACACACACACACACACACACACACCACAGCTAATAAATACAGATATAAGAGAATGAGAAAATCACTACATTGCAATCACACCTCAGATCCTACCAATCTTGGCACACACAAACACACACACACACACACCCCACACACACACACCGCCACCCTCCCCACCAGTGTGGCAGGACCAGCACATACTGCTTCCTGCTAGTGTTGATGACAAAAACAAAGCAGAAAGAACCCAAGGCTAATCAAACCTCCAGATCTAACTACCATTTAAAGAAATGGGAAGGATGGAGAAACATGCTGAAAGCCACCAAAGATACTATCGGCTAAATACAGACTGGAAAGTTCTGCAGGGCAAATGATCCCATTTTCCAACAAATTAATAGAGTGAGGGAGAGCAGGAAGGAGACTTCTGCAGTAAGCAAGACTTTTAAGAGACATCAATTAATGCAATTTTTGAACCATTTTGAAACAATCAGAAGAAACAAAATGCAGACTGGTTAGATAACAGAAGAATTGGTTTTCTGTTGGCTGTGACAATACCATTATGGTTCTGTTTTGAAAGTTCTTATCCATTAGGAAAAGTCACAGAAGTATCCGTGGTGAAATGAGATAGTGTCTGGAATCTGATTTAAAATATTCCTACAAAATAAGTGGTAGGATAGACTAGCAAAAACAAGAAGAGCAGAAAGCTGTTAGCTATGGAAAGTGGGTGATGAATATATATGGGGTCTCTACTTTTGTGTATTTTTGAAATTTTTCATCATAGCTTTTAAAACATATGTCCCTCTTGAGGCCCTTTTCATATATATTTAATGCAAAGAAAAATTTCTGGCTTTTTCTCAATTTCCTTTGATGTACCCCTATCAACTTGCCTATATTTCCTTCTTGTGAAAGTGAACGTTACCTGTAAACTGTTGAACTGGAAGGATGAGACAGAAGGATCACAAGTTTGAGCCCAGCCTCAGCAATTTAGTGACTTGGCCCTGGGTTGGATCCCAAGTACCACCCCCCAAAAAAAAAGGGAATAATTAACAATCATCTCTTCTATTTTCAAGACAGAAGGATCACAAGTTCGTCCCCAGCCTGGGCTGCATATAAGACCCTGTCTCAAAGAAAAGTTAAACTAAAGCAGAAAATTCTGAATTTCAAAGTTTTGTGGCCCATTTGATTCCTTAGGGTTGTTATGCTTGTCTTGATTTTTGTTCCTTCAGATAACTTTTAAGACGTGGCTGGCTTGTAAGCAGTAATTTATTTATGTATTTTTTGGGTTTTGTGGTGCTAGGGATGGAACCTAGTAGGTCACACTTGCTAGAAAGGTGCCCTACCGCCAGCTACATCCCCAGGCTTGAATAACAGTTCACTACAGGCCCCATAATATGCACTTTTTGTCTTATATGTCTAAAGTGTCAAGGTGTGAGCAAATTTGTGTTCTTCATTTCACTATAGCCTATGAATGTTCATTCTTGGTTGAAGGGAAGGAGAATGTTTTCGCCATCTCTCAGCTAAATCTCCCCACTTCCCTGCATTCGAGTCCCTTTTCCACCATTTCATTTTCTACTTTTATAAAATGGAGCTATTTTACTTCTTCCTAATTAAAGCTTATGGAAGCACTTTTAAAGAAGATCCTAAGATGTAAGATATAGAAAAGTGAAAACTATCATTAATGTATTTTAATCAGCACATTTAAATCCCCACATAGACACACCCACCCCTTCGTTCAAGCAAAGGTGTAATTCACAGTGATGATGTCATAATCATAGATCTCTGCTCTCATCCTGAAAGCTGCAAAGTTTCCAAATACTTACTAAACTCCTGCTGGGACATTTTTAGTATATGTGCTGCAGAAGCGAGCACCTGCTGAGACTTTTAAAACATACTAAATAACTACAAAATTCCCATATCTGACTGAAAGTGTGAACAAAGAGCCCTTTTTTGTCAACATAGTAAATGGATATTAAAAGTGGCCATCCTTGGCCAGGGATTTAGCTCAGTGGTGCTGCCACCTGCCTTGAAAGCGCAAGGTCCTGAGTTGGATCCCTGGTACAAAAAAAAAAAAAAAAAAAAAAAAAAGCGGTCATCCTGGCATAGTAGCACATACCTGCAATCCCCAGCACTTGGGGGAGGCTGAGGCAGGCCGATGAGAGAGTTCAAGGCCAGCCTGAGCTACATAGCAAGATTCCGTCTGAAAACAAAAAGTGGCTGTCCCATAAGGTACAGTCTGTCAAAAACACAGGGATGGGGTACTAAAACAAAGTGCTGAAATTGTTTGTTTGAAAACAGCCTACTACCAGGACTCCCAGAGCCCTAGCTCTGCTTTTTACATCTTCACTGGGAAGGGAGGAGTTGCACGATTCCTGGCTCCTGGCATCTGTAGAGGGATGATGAAAACTCTCCAGTCACTAAATGCCAAGCCCTCTGGAAATACTGCCCAGGGCAATGACAATCCAGCTACCGCCTTGCATCTCTTTGAAATTCTAATACGCGAAGTTCAAATCCTCTTGTGGTGGGAAACCCTGGATCTTTTTCTAGAATCTACAGAGATTCCCCTGGAATAGTGAGATGGGGCAAAAGAACCTTTCATTTTACCTAGTGACTTTGGGTTCTGATTTCCGGCTAGCTCAGAATTCTCGCTCCCCCATATTTCACCTCGGGCATTCTCTGCACAACACTTATATCACCACTAGCATGTAATAAAACTCCCCTTCCTCGATTTCCCCAAAACAGCACTCACCAAGGCTGCTTGGAATGTTAGTAGAGGTTTACTGAGGATTTGGAGGCAGCCCCAGGGTGCCACCCCGCAGGAGAGCCCAGAGGAGAATTTAAAACCGCGGTAGAAGGGCGGGATCCTTTCTTCTCCCTCCCCCGCTCCAGCCCCTCCCTCTCCTCAGCCTCCTTTGTTCCGGTCCCTCGCTCCCGCACCGCCAATTCCTCCAATCGCCATTCTTTTCTAATGCTGAGCAGTCCAGTTTTCTCTTTGTCTCATCCTGGGCTCGGCAGCCCAGCTAATCTTGCTCTAACCACAAGGGTCTGTTGGTGTTTTTCTGACAAAGACAGCTTCCCTAAGAAGATTCGTGCTCAGACGCTTTTGAGCAGCAATTCTCGGGAAAACCCATCCATCCCGAATGGTGGTTTAACTCTGCAGCCCCCAGGCTTTTTGACGCTCAGGATTTTTTTACTCTAGTAAAAATCAATTGAGGATCCCAACGAGTTTTTGTTCATGATGGTTATATCTATCAACATTTACTGTGGTAGAAATTCAAACTAAGAATTTTTAAATGCATATTTATTCATGTATTTTAAAATGTTATTCAGGGTTGGGGATGCGGCTGGGCGGCAGAGCGCTTGCCTAGCACTCCAAGGCCCTGGGTGCCCTCCCAGCACCGCAAAAACAACAAATCATATGCTTATTTTATGCTAATATAAATACGTTATGTTTTATGAAATAGTTTCCAAAACAAAAAAGGTCAAGCCGGGGATTTAGCTCAGTGGTTCCGCCACTAGCCTTGCAAGCGCAAGGTACTGAGTTCCACCCCGGTACCAAAAAAAAAAAAAAAAAAAATAAAAAATGAAATTGTTCAAGGTACTGAGTTCCACCCCGGTACCAAAAAAAAAAAAAAAAAAATGACAAAAATGACATTGTTTTACATTTTTGCAATTATCTTTCTTGCCTGACTGAAGATAACCCGGTTGCCTACCTGCTTCTCCCATCTGTTCAAGAGATAAACATCCTATAGCCACGGGGGTGGGGGGGAGCTCGAAAGCTTGAGAGAGAAGGGTCAAAAAGGCAAATGTCGCGATGTCAAACAAATTTCCATAAATATCAAGCTAAAAATGCCCACTATGATGTGGCACAGGTAACACAGCTCTTTCAGGATCTGCCGTCATCCCAAAGTAAAATTTCCAGACAATTACAGATTTGTAAGCAGTAAGATGCAAATGAGACATCAGTACATTGTAACATGAACAAAGGGCAAGAGTTTGGCAAGAAAAAGTGAATATTTTGAGAAATAATTGGTACAGAGTGAATGCCAATATCTAGAACCATAGATGATAGAGGAGGAGCAGGGAGCAAAGTATAAAGTGTTAAAAATTAGACTTTTGGGATCGGGGATTTAGCTCAGTGTTGCTGCTGCCTGCCTTGCAAGCTAAAGGACCCAAGTTCGATCCCAGGTACCAAAACAAACAAAAGAACTAGACTTTTAATATCTACACACAAGGGCTGAGGGTATACGTCAATGGTGGAGCACTTGCCTAATATACCTGAGGCTGGCATTTAATCCCCAGCTCTGAAAAGAAAAAGAAAGTGTGCACACAAGAATTCAAAGTATCCAGCCAGGCATAGTGGCACATGTCTGTAATCCCAGCTATTCAGGAGGCTGAGACAGGAGGATCAAAAGTCTGAGGTCACCCTGCCTCACGGAAGGTGGTGAGGCCACAGACCCGAAGAACTGCATGATTCATTGAATCCTGGGGCTGTCATACCATGGCTGAAACAGACACTGACAGAAACCAGATTGAGAAACTCCTAAAAAGAGTACAAGAACTGGAGCAGGAAGTACAAAGACTTAAAAAAGAACAACCCCACAACATCAAAGGCCCAAACGTTAAAGAAAATTCTTCAAGATCTGGAAAAGCTAAGCGTGCATTTGATTTCAGTGCCCACAGCCAAAGACATGTAGCTGGAAGAATAGTCTATCTGGGCTGGGGATACCAGGGCTTTGCTGGTCAGGAAAACACTGACAATACCATTGAAGAGAAACTGTTTGAGGTCAACGGACAAAGGAGTTAGCGCCTTTGGACAGGGATGGAGAAGCCAGAAGTTATTGATGAGCTGCTGAACATAGAGAAAAATCCCCAGAAGCCTTGATATAGTGTGGCTGTAGAATTTCCTCTAATCTTGTATGACTGTAAGTTTGAAAATATCAAGTGGATCTATGATCAGGAGATTCAGGGGTTCAATGTTACTCACCTACAGCAACTATGGGCTAATCGAGCTGTCAAAAGTCACATGATGTTTGATATACTGCAAGGACTGGACTCTGTTGTGTAGAACAGGGGCAAACATGGATGGAACAACAGAATGGAGAAACATTAAGCCCTCTGTCATAAAGCAGACTGGTCCCTTTGTAGAAGGAGTGAAAATGCACAAATATAGGCCCCTTATGGATCACCCTAAATGCCAAGGAATGGAATCCCGAATCCAGCATTTTATTCGTAGAGGACGCATTCAACATCCACATTTATTCCATAAGGAAGAAACAAAAGCTAAAAGGGATGGACATGACACACTGGAAGAAGAGAATACTCCTTTGGAGAAACCAAAAAGGGTCTGTGTAGATGCAGAAATTAAGAGCATCATTTAATTATAGCAAACTTCCTAGGATCTAGGAGACAACTTGGTAGTGTAGGTAGGTAGAAAAGAAATTTTAAAAAGTTTTACTGCAAGAAGTTATATAAATTCTGATGATCAGCTCATTAAAAAAGAACTGTAAGGCCTGATTAAGGAAGCTCTTCCTTAAATAAAAGACCAAGTTGGGCATGGTGGTGCATGCATACAATCCCAGAACTCAGGAGGCTGAGGCAGGAGGACTGCTGTGAGTTCAGGTACAGCTTGGGCTATATAATGAGTTCAAGGCCAGTCTGAACTGTGTCGTGAGACCCTGTTTCATGAAACAAAATGGAAAAAACAAAAAAACAAAAAAAAGTGAGAGACCAGCATTTTCTCATTCCCATCCAAAGGATTAAGAGGTGAAAAAAGCAAAAAGCATTTAAGCATTTGTAATTTATGTATATCTGGGAACCTGTGCCTTGTGTTTAAATTCATTAAAGTCTGATCTCATAAGGGTCAAAAAAAAAAAAAGCTTGAGGTCAGCCTGAGGTAGAGTAGGGCTGGAAGAAAATCCATCAAAGTGTAATCTTTCAGAGTCATAAAACCCAGGGCACATGCACAGAACACAGAATCCAAAATGACTCTGTAGTCCCTTGAACACTGTACATGGAACCAATCAGAAAAATGCTACTTTTTATTAGTACATGTTTGCAGTCCATGAAGTTTACAATCATCCTGGTGAGTGTTTACATGTACATACCATAGCTTGCTTCTTTTTTCATCTCTTTCCCCTTCCCTTCCCCTTCCTCCATCCTCCTCCAATTCATCTATCCCATTTTTCATGCTTGTTGCTATTATTACGCTTACCTCGAATTATGGCTGGCAGGTAGTGTTTACATTGAGGTTCTGAGGTTCCTGTACATGACATATCTTTATTCTAATTTCCCCACCACCACCCCTTGCCCTTGTTCCCTTGGACCACTTCCCTATTGCAAGAGTTCCAGCTGCTAGTCCCCTTCTGTCCATCCCTTATCCATCCTCTTTGTACTTTGCCTCACTCAAATGAGAGATACCATATGGCATTTAAACTTGTGTGTCTGGTTTATTTCACTCAACATTATATTTTCCAGGTACATCCATTTGCCTTCAGATGTCTCAAATCTGTCATTCTTTATAGCAGAGTAGTAGTCTATTATATTCAGATACTACATTTTCTTTATCCAATCACCTGTTAATGGGTATAAAAATATGAAACACTTCGCGAATTTGCGTGTCATCCTTACACAGGGGCCATGTTTATCTTCTGCGTATCGTCCCTATTTTAGTATATGTGCTGCCGAAGGGAGCACGAAAAATGCTATTTTTAATTCTTCGGTTTTGTTTCTTTTTTTTTTTGGTTTTGTTTGTTGGTTGGTTTGTTTGTTTTGTTTTTGGTACCGGGGATTGAACTTGGGTCCTTGGGCTTGCAAGGCTGGCCACCGAACCGCTGAGCTAAATCCCCGGCCCTTTAATTCTTCTTTTACCTCTGCTGTGAAACCAAGCAAATCTTTGATAGAACAGTGGAAATCCGGCGCCAGGCCAAGTGAGCTTCTGATGGAACAGCAGCCGCAACGATCTATCTACGTAAGGGAGAAGCCAATCTAGGAATTTCGGACACAATAAACTGTACCCAAGGCCGCTGTGAATCGGTCCGCAGGCCCGCTGTGCTCTGCAGAGCATACTTTCTTTCTGCCTTCAATAAATGTTAGTCCCTTTCAGCCGGTTCTGGGGTCCTGGGTTTCCTTCCAGAGCTGGTTTCTAGGTTCTTCTTGACTTGAACAAAGAATTGGACAAAACAAGCCCAAAAGGTAGCAAGGTTTTATGTTTATTAAAGGTAGGAAAGGAAAACGAGCTCTGCAGAGCACGTTTGGGCCGAGTAAAAATAGGAAAAATGTAGACTGCAGCGAGAGAGAATACTGAAGATGAGAGAACATACTGGCCCAAGACGAAGGTTCTTTTGAACCTCCTACTCCTCTGAGGTCAAGCTAGGTGTTGCTATGGAAAATTCGCTCGAGTTCTAGCGAGAAGAATGGAAGCCAGCCCTTTGATTGGTTCCAAAAACCGGGCTTTGGGAACTGTTCTGCTCTTGTGTCCTGGGACTTTGCGATTAACAGATCACGCCCACTTCCCCCTCTAGTCGCTGAGGACCGCTCCTGCTTCATCTCACTTCTTTTCTGTGCCTTGTCCCAGTCTTTGTTCTGGACATCAAGAACCTGGAAAGAATTTCCCTGGGACCCAAAGGCCGCTAACAAGCCTGGTACCTCAGTAGGACCCTGTGTTAAAATAAAAGATTTTTTAAAAGAACTGGGAGGGCCGGGGATTTAGCACAGTGGCAATGTTCCTGCCTTGCAAGTTCAGGGTCCCCAGTTCTATCCCCGGGACCACAAATAAATTTAGATAAATAAATAAAAATAAAAATGCTAGGAGCCAGGCATGGTTGTGCATGCCTGTAATCCCAGCACTGGGGAGGCTGAGGCAGTCCATCCCGGGCTACATGAATTGAAGGCCAGCCTGAGTTACATAGCGAGACCCTGTATCAAAAATCCCACGGGGCGGGGGCGGAGATGGACCACAGCAGCGCAGCTCCTGCTTGGCAAACTTGAGGCCCTGGGTTGTTTCTGGTAAAAAGAAACAAACAAACAAACAAAACAAAGTGGGTGGGGTGAGGGGATGTAGGCCAGTGGTAGAGTGCTTCTGGGTTCATTCCCCAGAACCTCCGAAACAAAGGGAGAGGAGGGGAGGGGAGGGATATAACCAGTTTGCAAAAGCCTAATCGGTTAAAAATTTCAGAATAACAGATTGGTTGAAGTTTTCTTTTGACGTAACCAAAAGGAAACAAGGATGTGAGTATGATCTGGTTGTGACATCTGTCACCCATTGATCCCCAGGGTTGATGCAGCCGGATGTGGGCAGGTGGCCCTGTTCCTCCCTCACACATTACCCTGAAGGAACTTCCAAGCAAGCTCTCAAGGTTCAGAAGGAAGCAAAGGGCTTTTTTAAATGCCCCATATAAACTCCACAAATTGAAAAGAAGAGAAAAAGTTAAAAATGAAAACTTAAAAGGAAGTAGAGTATGGTAAAATTTCATCAATGAAAGCATTAAATATCCACCAGCTGAACTCTCTTATAAAAAGGAAGCAGCTTACTGTTAAAAGCACAAAATCTAGCCAGGGATTTAGCTCAGTGGTGCCGCTGCCTGCCTCACAAGCGCAAGGACCCGAGTTTGACCAACGGTATCAGAAAAAAAGCAATATTAAAAAAGTACAAAATCTAATAATTTGTTGCCTGCAAGAGGTACACAAACCAAAAACAATCCAGAGTAGCTGTGTTGGAGAATATTCCTTTGTAAACAGAAGAAAAGTTAGGATTACTCTTTTGGTATCAGATAAACCAGATGTCATAGCAAAAAGCAGATAATAAATAAGGTCATTACATAATAGTCAAATGTGTATTAAATTATGAGAATCACAAAAGCACTGAATGTATGTATTACCAAAATCATTACAACAAAGTCCATCGAAGAAGGAAAGATAAATATTATTTTAACTGGAACCTTCAATATTCCAGAAGAATGGACAAAAATAAATTGGAAAAAGCCATTTGACTGCGTAATTCATTCAAGAAAAATTTAGAAGAGACTCACTAGGTTCCAAGGTCTTGTTACATGCTAGAAGATAATTTCATAAACAATATGGAAATAGAAGATTAAGTCTGGGGCAAGCTGGACAACTAATTGGGTGGAATGTGTCAAAGGTCCTAAAAAGCCAGGTGAGATGTTTCCTAAAAAGAAAACATGCACTGGACAAAGGACCCCAGAAGATTCCAGGGCTCCTGAGCACTATACATGGAACTAATCAGAAAGTAAGATACTCAGTCTTTCATTTGAATCTGGTGCTGTTTGCAGGACCGATCAGCAGAGGCTATTTTCAATCTTTCATTTCATGTGGGCACAACCAATCAAAAGATGCTATTTCTGATCTTTCATTTACACCATGGGAAGCCAGTGTGGTGCGGCACACCTGTAATCCCAGCACTCTTAAGGCTGAGGCAAGAGGCTTGCCACAAGTTGGAGGCCAGCTTTGGCCACACAGTGAGTTGAAGACCAGCCTGGACTACGAGTGAGACCCTATCTCAGAAGAGCAAAAAAAAAAGAAAAAACAATACATCTAGCAGGAAACCAAGCAAGTTTTTCAATACCACAGTTTTTATATGGCATGACAACAAGTGAGGTGGTTTTTTTTTTTTCTGGTACTGGGCATCAAATTTAGGACCTTGTGCTTACAATGCAGGCAGTGGCACCACTGAGCAACATCCTCAGCCCTAAGTGAGTTCTTGCTTGGACAAATGACCCAGTGCCCTATTTGCAAGAGGAGGAAGCCAACCCAGGTGTAATGGATACAAAAGATCCCTTTCCCCTTGTCCTCAGGGCCACAGGGAGTCTTTCCACTGCTCTCTCCTTATAGAATATACTCTGTTCCACCTTCAATAAATGTACAACTTGATGCCTTTTCTGTGTATTCTGTGCAGTTGTTTTGTTCAGGACACCAATGACCTGGAAAGAAGCCCCATGTGACAACTCCCCCCGAAAAAAAACACTCTGGTAACAATATGACTTTAACAGACATATGGAGAGATTAAAGAGGGGAAATTTTCATATAGCCTCTTTTCTTTCTTTCTTTCTTTTTTACCGGTGATCGAACTCAGTACCTCGCTCTTGCAGGACAGGCATAGTGCCACTGCACTAATCCTCCTATCCCTCATATAGTCTCTTTTCAAGTGTGCATACACTGTCATCTATAAGCCAACATAAAAAAAACCCTGATATCCAGTATTGAACAATAAAGATTCATTCTTTTGTTTTTGTTCTTTGAAGCAGGGTCTCACTACATAATCCAGACTGGCCTTGACTTGCTATGTAGTCCAAGCTTGCTTCAAACTCACCATCCTCCTGCCTCAGCCTTCTAAGTACTGAGACAAAGATTCATTCTGTCATTGCTGTAGCACACAGTAATGAATTTATTCAACATATTAAATTGATTGTTATTCACAGAAAGTCAGAAATACCACCCAAACCACAAGGCAATACATTTTTTTAAAAATAAAAACAAAATAAGATGTCAATCACATAAGAATATTTTGAGACATTTAAACACTGTCTTTGGTAGTACATGGGTTATGCAGGAAATCCTGAACATACGAAGTGGACATCTGTCATTTGTGCCCAGCCTCATTTTTTCCCCTCCTTTTTCTGGTAACAGAAGTCATCTCTTTCCTTGGGGAATTTCCTCTCTCCCACTGTGTGCCACTCAGGTGGAATTTTCAATTCTGTGATTTTACGATGAGGGGGTGACCCATATTGGCAGTGTAAGTCATGCTCCGGAAGATAGTGGTTGTCCTAGATCTGGCATGTGATTCAAGCAGGGCAATCAGAGTCCTTTTCAAAGACTGATATGGGTACTGGGGGAAGAAGAGTCAGTAAATTATCCAAGATTCTGAGGATTAAGGAAGGCATAAAATCTAGTGACACTAATTACCAGTTCAATTACCACATGAGACTGAAACCCACGAAAAGAAAAGAACCAAGATATGAAAGTGACAGGGCCAGAATCCTAATGCCATCATTAGACCCCCTGATCCAGTCGTGCCTGAAGGTAGATCTGGTTCCTAGAACCAAGAAACTTTTCCCCTTTAAAAGTTGTGGTAAAATATAGAGAATGGAAGATTGCCATTTTCATCCTTTTTCTCAAGAGTATGATTCAGCGGCATTAGATACACTCACACTGTTGCGCAATCATCGCCACCATCCTTCTCTGTAGCCATTAAATAATAGCTCCCTATTCCTTCTTCTCTCCCCCAAAATTTCCCCTTAAACTCTTTCAAGTTAGACTTAGGTACTTGCGATCAACAACATATACAATTATTATATATAACAAGAACTATATAAGTATTCATACATGCTGACATAGTCATTTTATTCTAGGGAATATAACTCAAACAATCCTCCACCTCCTGCACACAAAACTTATATTGAACAAAAGCATTCATAGCAGGCTATCAATGATAATGAATTATGAAAGTCATATGGTATGCCATGATATGAGGGGAAAGAATAAAACAATTTAATGACGTGTGTGAACCTTGTAAAATACAAAAATGTTTACATAAAATAATATAAAGTTTTTAAAAAGCAAGAGAAACAGCAGGTACATACTAATTATAACTAAGTAGGGATGTCCTAAAGGCACAAAAGAGGGTATTCAAACAGCCACCACGCCCATGGAAAGTTGCTCAACTCCATTAGTCATCAGGG